AAAAATAAAAAGTAAAAAATAAAAATAAACGCGACAAAATCCGTAAAAGTAGTTTTAATCATAATTTTATATTTCGCTGAATTTTGATCGACTTTGCTACAATATTTCCGCACATCACTTTGTCCGTTGTCCGCCAGGAGGTGGCATTCTGAAGAATCAAATCAAGTAGTGCACCGGAGTCAGCAGTTAAAAAAAAATTCACCTTTATAAACTTTTTCGTTTCAACGACGAAGACCAATCAGTCAATATTGCCATAAAATAATTCCTAATATTGATAAATTTCTCAACAAAAATAGCCTTATACTCTAATTATTGATGGTTGATAGACTTTACCTAAACACACATATATACATACAACATAAACATATACATACATACAACATATACATACACATACAACATATACATACAACATACAACATAAATACACAAATAAAACACATTTAAATCCAAATATTTTGCGTTATCATTTGATTAAATATAATATGCATTCATCAAAATTATGAGATATTGCTATTAAATGTGTAAATGTATTCACCTGATCACACATGCGTTATTCCAACTATAATAGGGTTTTCCCCTCAAATCCTCACTCCATCGAGAGGGACGACGCTATACTATGGAAAAGGAAGTACTATCGAAAGTCGTATTTTTAATTACACGAAGCTGCCTGACGTTTACTGGGTTGTCAGGTTTGGATGAAACAAAAATAGTGCTGTGACTAAATAACAGAACGGAAAACAAAATAACTGACTGATAAAAAAAACGACTGAATGTTTAAAAAATATTTTTTTTAACGGAAGGTTTTAAAAATCACGTGAAGATTTTTTAAGGTACACCCATGTTGTCAGTTCATCGTGCGAAAATTATCCATAGTGTATGTCATCATAGGGATTTCATAAAAAAAAACTATGCTTAAGTATTACATTTTTTTATTCATCGTCATCAGATATAATAATATCATCGATGTCACTGTCAGTAACATTTATTATAAATTTGTCTGAGACACTATCGATCATTTGGTCGAGATTAAACATTTTTTCTATTTAAGTAATCTTCTTTTCCTTTTTTAGCCTCAAACACAAGTAAGCTATCTTTTACAAGCCCTTCTTCCCCGCCTATATGGCAAGCAATTAGCCGTTTGCCTTTTCCTGAAGGCTCTTTCAAGCTGGTGGTCAACCCTTCTAAGAATGCCTGCCGGGACGGTTGTACAGTCCGGTCAATCCATTGCTTCTTCGGTGTATGGCCTTCGAGAGAATAAAAAATACCTATTACTCATTAAATTCACCGGTGGCATGCAACACCTACACTGAAATAGATAAATAAAACAGAAAAAGTTTTAATTACCTTCGTTGATCCAGGTTTCATCTTGGTAATAAATGTACCTTCTTTCCCTGCGATAATATTAAATTTTTTGAAGATATCGCTGGCGCCACAAAATAATATCGCGTCTATCTATTAGCACGTTTTTCTTGATTTTATGGCGTATTTGAAATTTAAGTGTTTTAAAATTTTCCTCAAGTTACACCAAGAAAAAATCGGTAAATCTGGGTCATCATTAACAACCTTAAGGATTTGTAATTTAAACAGATTACGGGTAAGAAAGACTACGCAATAAAAAAAAAGAAATAGAACCTCAAAAAAATGCTATGTGTGCGTGAGCGTGTAAATATGCACCTTTGATTTGTGTGATAGTGACGCGTGTCAGTGTAAACGGTTCAATTTAAAAGTACGGTGACCTATATTAATTTATATCTCGAGATGTAATATAAATTATATTTCGTCCCATAATGGAAAGTGGGCTTGACTGACTGAACGCATCACCATTACAATGAATTTGGCAACATTATTCATTGACTATAGTCAACCAAATCTAAGAAATCGTAGACAGAGAAACCTATAGACTAATGATCGGCGTGGCCTCGAGTGAGAAAGGACGATAACGAATTTTTAGGTTATACAATAATCTTTATGACTTTCAAACACATTTAGATAAAAATTTTAATTGTTCTAAGAACTGAACTGAACAAGATTCACCAATCTTAAGCTCAAAAACACTTTTTTCTCACTTAAACCAACTTGTAAACTCCTTAAATCACTAGGCTGTTAAAGTAGTTTAGCAAACTGTAGAGTTTGCTAAACAAAAAAACTGGCACGGAGAAAGGGACAAACAATCACACCACTCTATCTCATTTCTATGCAAGACGTGTACATAAATCTATCTTTTTCGTGTGCGAATGCGAAAGAAGGCGTCAATTTGTCTATAGGTTTCTCTGTCTACGTAAGAAACACTTTTTGACGTTTCACATTAATCATTCCGAAATAACTTTGCATCAGCGTACTCACACGATTTAAATTTACGTAATCCTTTTACGTAAATCCGAAGAATTTTGAAGTTATCTATATTTCATTACAACGTGTATAGTTTTTTATCACTAATTTAAATTTGAATTTTTCAAACAAAGCAAAATATTAAAAAATAATCAGTATTAACTTTCTTTACTTGACGTCGTTTTAATGATATTATGTCGCTGTGTATATTACTGTAGTGTTTGGATGATTAATTTTCATTGTTATGCGAATGATTGGCAAAATATTCAAATAATCGAATCATTAATTATATTAATGTATTATATGTTTAATTTAAATTTTATTTTCAAAATTCCTTAAATGATATGAATCATGAATAAAACAAGTTTATTTTTTTTAACTTTGTCAAAGTAAATTTGTGTAGGAAAAAAACTCATATACAAGGCCGTGCTAACCGTGAGTTTGCACTGACGCGATTTTCACAAAAAAACACATGTTTTAAACACTGTTTTCTGTCAATGTATTAAAAAGCGTTTGCATAGTCAAAGAACATGTTGTAGTGAAATATGTTTGACAGTTTATTGTACATTACATATTTTAACTATATTATATCTTTATAACCACAGTATCAAAATGTTTGAAAACAAGTTTGTAGGAATATTGTCATGTTGAAAGATAAGTTTGTATATCTGTTGAAAATTTTACACAATTTTTATTATTTTTATATTGTACGTTTCCATTTTTTGGTTGGCATTGTTGGTGCAATAAGTGTGACAGCTGTCAAAATGTATTTCTTAGATTTGCGTAGACAGAGAAACATATAGACTAATGATAGGCGTGGCCTCGAGTGATAAATGACGATAACGAATTTATAGGTTAAACAATAATCTTTATGACTTTTAAACACATTTAGATAATTGTTTAGCAAACTGTAGAGTTTGCTAAACAAAAAAACCGGCACGGAGAAAGGGACAAACAATCACACCGCTCTATCTCATTTCTATGCAAGACGTATGCATAAATCTATCTTTTTCGTGTGCGAATGCGAAAAAAGGCGTCAATTTGTCTATAGGTTTCTCTGTCTACGTAGATTTGGTTGACCATAGAGAAGAAAGTTATTTCACAAAGTGACATTAGCGTCTGTCAGGCAGCTTGGTTTAATTAAAAATACGATTTGAGTTAAGTAAAGAGATAAAAGTATCTAGTAACTAAGTAAGTATCGATAATTTGTAAAATACTTCAATAAAAGTATCGAGTACAAAAAAACAAGGTATTGAACTAAAAGTATTGATACTACTCAGGTATCGATACTTTTTGCGGATCCCTACATGTCAACGTCAAAATCAAAGAGCAAGGAGCATCAGCTGGCAGCATAGGCATGTCGATTCACTCTTAAAAAATCGATCTCTGAATCGATTTGAATCGAAGGTACTTGAATCGATTATCGATTAAATCGAGGAATAAAAGATCGATTTTCGATTAATCGCGACATTTTCAAACATGGCATTTCAAGAAATTTCATTTTTTTTCTTTAACTTCTAAACTGTAATATTTTTTTTAATAAAATATTAGTAATCTTATTGATTAACATTACTAATATTCCTTTTAAACACTCTTGGTAAACTTGAAACGCTTGTGTTAGGAGTGGTTCGCACGTGCTCCACTCGATCCCTTTTTTTTACAAAGTGATTCCACGTAACACTTTTATTTGACATTTTAGGCTAAAAACAACAACAATACTTTTACAAAAGTGCAAACTGCAACGTAATTTCTTGATAAATCTGTTTCAATGTAATAACTCACTATTTATCAAATTGAAATGAATGCTACACGAACACAATACTGGTTATTTCCTTACTATAAACTTCAACATATAATATTTATTTACAGTATCTAGGTATTTAAAAAGTACTCTGTCTGTACTTACAGCTCACAGTATCTATGTTTTTGATAATAAATAAAGTAAATTCACAAGTTCACAGTTCAAACAGGTTCACAGCTATAATATTATATTATATTATAGTACAGGAGGTGAAATATAATATGAAAATATCGAAAAAATATTTATAGTTTGGGATTTAATATATATTGCACCTCAGTGGAAACGGTTCTATTTAAAAGTACGGTGAGTGATATTAATTGATATCTCGAGATGTAATATTAAATTACATTATATCCCTTAGTGGAAAGTGGGCTTAAGAATTTTAGAAATGAAAATGAAATGACAACTTTTCGATATTGTTGAATGCGTTCGTAAACATTTATTTATTCAAATATATATTGCTTTCAAATTATCAACCAAGTACGACCGGTTGTTTTTGCGTCCCCCAAGAGCAAAAAATTAAAAAACTGTGGTACCTTATCCCAGCCAGTTTGGGAATTTTAGCTAGTTCTTGAATCAAATGAATCAGTCCGATTCAATAGGTTTTTTGGATCGATTCAGTGAATCGATGCGGTGCTTCGAATAGATCTAAAAAATCGATAATTTTACTCCAAAGAATCGATTTTTCGATTAATCGATTTTAGATCGACATGCCTATGGCAGCATAGCAGCACAGCAGCAACAGAATAATTTTTGAAGATTTTCGCTTAATAAAAGCTACTTCTATGAATTCCTACTGCTAGGGTTTATTTTAACTGTCTCATAAGTTTGTGAAACATTTAGACTAGTTTATTGCATTTAAAATACAATGGTGAGAGAAATTAGTATTGAAGAAGTAAAAAAACACCGCGATAGTAAAAGTGTTTGGATAGTTATACACAATGATGTTTACGACGTAACAAATTTTTTGGAAGAGGTAAAAAATTATGTATAAAAGTGTCTTGTAGGAGATATAGTATTTCTATCATATTAGAATTTTTTATAGATATTATTTGACATTGCACATACAATTCCAGTATAAAAAATAGTTGACCAATTTTGTATAAAAAATAGTTTTGCACCAGTAAAAATTCGTTCAAAATCATGTTACTGAATGAATTTCCTTAATTAGTGAACAGCTAAATGTATCAATTATGTCTTTTACTCTCTTTAGTTGTTTGAAGTCTTCCTAGAATACTATACTGCCGATTTATCATCATCTTCCAGATAATTATTTACTGTACCAAAATAGTACCCTTTAAATTGAGAAAAAATTACTAAGGATTGTGTTCAGGAATCTCATGTTTAAATTTTTAGGCCAAGATGGCCATGTCCGCCATGAAATAGTTTCTCCCAACAAACTGTGTCCATCATTAAGTGATGTTTTCCTCATTTTGAATTGAACATCAAAAATCAAATTTACAGAAAAACAAACACAATTTAACTAAACACCATATATTTAATACAATTAGAATAAGATTAATAATGAGTTATATAAATTCTCATTACATTTTTAGCACCCTGGTGGTGAAGACTCCCTTCTAGAAGTGGCTGGACAAGATGGCACTCAAAGTTTTGAAGATGTTGGTCACAGTGCTGATGCTAGGTTTGTGCTATCTATCAACATTTTTAATTTTTTTATTTGCTGGTATGAAAAAGAAAATGTTGGATTCACATTTCATACACTTTTGTTATTTATATATCTAGACATACATGCTTATTAGTGATGCAACGGATATTACTTTTACAAATATGAATATCAAACATACTATTCGGTGAATATGAATATGTATACGAATATCTCGCCATGGTAATGAAAAACTAATTTATTTGATGATTTTCTATTGTTCTAATAATAAAAATGTACAACAGGCAAATTTTTATTAAAAAAAAAAAACATAAAATTGGTAGATTTTTGGCAATTTCTTTTTTCAGTTTGGATGTTCCCAGCCATTGAAAAAAGCCTTTCCGAGGCGACTGTACATGGTTTCAGTTAAAAATCTTTTTGGATGAGTTTTTTAGACTTGGAAAATGGACATCTCGCCAAATAAAAGGCCAATGGATCAGAGGCAAGATTTAAGACTTGGTATTATTGAGTATTTGAGATAATGTCGTTGATTCTTTGCTTAGCTATTTGTCCAGAATATCAATAATTTGGCTCATAAGAAGAGCCCATTGCCTTGCTGTTATTACAATGAAATGAAATGAAATGAAGATTTATTTCCTTTGAAAAAGGGTACATTTAGGTGATTTAGGTAAAGTGTAGTTCAGCTTTTTCAGCCATCTATGGATAACATGCAAATACATTTTTTATAATTAAGATTACTATATTAAAATTTCGAAGTCAATTAAAATATTCATCATAAAATAGTCATCGTTTGCAAATTACCAATACATACAAATTTAAAAATAATTAAAATTGAAAATGCAATTAAAAACATAGAACTACTGTTGTGTCACATCACGTCAAATTTAGATAGTCATTCACATTATAAAAACTTCGTGTTTACATGACGACAATTTGTGTAGATATTGTAAAACATCTTGAATTGGCTATGCATTGTTCATGTAATCTCTTCAACTTCTGATATCTTGAGTCCCATCCAGTTTCAACATCTTGAAACAAAACATGTTTCGGTATATTGTTAGCTTGTTGAAAATCTTCCAGTTGTTTGAGTGTTAAAATGAGTAACAACTCCCTGCCATTGTGCAGCCATTGTTGCGGCTAAGGCGCGCGTTTTCAAATGCGTACAAAAATATAAGTTTTTAAATATTCGTGATTAGCATTCACCGAATACGAATATTCGGTAAATATCTACTATTCAGCGAATACGAATACTCGTATTCATATTTGTTGCATCACTAACAATCAATTAAAAGTGTTTGATGGCCTATTTTAAATATACAGCCAATTTGGTTGATTTACTTTTTTTTATCTTGAACAATCTTTGCCAAATTTGCTACTAATTTTTGTAGCACAAATTTGCTTTGTGTTTTTTCTCATTCATTCTTTCTATATGTCCAAACCATACTTTTTTTTCTTATCACTCAATTTCACACCCTATCATTCATTTAATTAATAAATGTCTTTAGGGGAATGTCCATAATAATACTCAAGTAGAACAATTACATTATGCACTACAACTTATGGAATTTTTATTGCAGGGCCTTACTAGAGAAATACATGATTGGTACCTTGCCTCAAGGTGAAATTATGAATAATGTGGCTGACACTGAAATTAGGTAAGAAAGGTTTTTGATTATTCAATTTGTAATCTTAAATAAATATATCAAACCAAATATATCATTAGATGTCACTGCCAAAATATTTTATGTTGGTAGCACACATTTAGCCATTTTATCGTGGCATGCCAATTTAAAAAGAATATTTAAATATTAATTACAAAATATAAATAATATTTGTAATTTTCAAGTCAGAATCTATTATATTTATCATTAACTCTGATGTCAAGAACATAAATACAATATTTAAATTTATTATAATAAAAAATAATTTAAGAAATATTTTAAAGAAGCTTGGAGTAAATTCTTTAGCTCAAACACATATGTTAATAAAACCAACAAATTATTTTGTTTTAAATAATACTCTTTCAAATTTTCATATCCATTTTAATATTCATGTTTACATTATATCCATTTCATCAAGCTGCACCTGTATTATGGTTATAGCATGAATGGGTTGGATTGACCAGGTAAGGACTGCGCTACCACAATACTGGCTTAAAATAGCAGCTTAATGCTGCTGTGTTTCATATGATAAGTGTAGAGAACTGGAGACCCTTTTTACTGGAAACAAGGCCTTCCATCTTAGTCCTCAGGTGTGACGACGCATCTGCATTTTGATTCTTAATTGTGGATGAAATGGATATCTATAGACCACAGCATCCACTTGCCATCACATGGACTGTGGGCTCGTTTGTCACCCTTATTCTATGTAAAAAAACCGCGGAAACATAACATTTTTTATCAACTTATCCCTTTCAGACCCGTGCCGTGACGGCGCTACCTAACGAATATTACATAACTGATTTAGGGCAAGTAACATGCGTACATTACAAATATGGGGTCAGAAAAAATCTAGGAAAATGGGAAAACTGTTTTCCACGATACTCACGATCGTACTACGTCGGGCCCAATTAGAGCTACCCTCACGATCGTGAGGGTAATTACAATATTCAAATAAAAGTAAAAATTAGGAATAATTATTTTATAATCAAAATTAACTTAATTTGTTATTGTTAATAAGCAACAAAAATATAACGCTTCTTTAACCTATATTTTTGCGTAATTAGATATAATAGAAAACTGAGAACTAGGAACAAGGCACACAATCGAGACCATCAGTTTATAATTAGAAGGAATAGACTTGAGAAAAATATTTGAAAAAATTATCTTTAGTACTACAAAGATAAACATTGCATTTTGTGTATCTTACTTTTGAACGGCTTGTCACTCGGCAACAGCGAGGAGCTTTTAGGGAATCACATACGGACCAATGGTTATACCCATCGAGACGTTTATCTACCTTTGGAATAGGTGCAGGTTGATAGTGGGATGTTGAAGGCATCTGCCATTTCTTCAAATTCTTCTCGGGTGCGTTTTATCGTTGAACCGCTAAGTAGAAAATCAGATACGCATATTTTTAAGTCCAGAAAATCCATGATATTAGAGTTCTTAACTTTATTTCTGTCACATGATTGGCGATACTCGTACCACGAGTTCATCATGGCCAAGTCAAACAAATGCATTATTAACTTAATTGGCCATTTGCGAGTTTTATGCCATGATCTGTAGACCTCCATTATTTGGTCGCTGACGTTTAGACATCCCATGTGTTCGTTGTATTTTTTTAATATCGGGGCGAGTTACTTCGATGTGTGATTTTGTAATTTTATCGTAACGCTGGACCTTATGTAATGGCTGGGCTTCAATAGCAGTTGAACCAGTTAATACTAATAACTCGTAAATTTCTTCAGTAAAGTACCTATCAAAGTATTCACTGGGAGTAACTACCTCTTCCGTCGATTCCGAGATCAGTGTAGGCATGGGTTTACCGACGAATCGTCTGCGAGTCCATTTATTCGACAATGATGGACTTGCTACAGTTGAAACTCTTGCTTCTTGATCGTCTTCGTCATCCGAGCTAGAACTAGGTAGCTCACCAGGTGGATGCCAATCATTATCGTCGACAAAGTCCTCGCCCAAATCCGAGTCAGCGAGTTGGTTCAATATAGCATCAGAGTCAAAAACATAAAATAATTGGTATAAATAATTATATTTATACCAATTATTTTATGGGTTTTTAACATAAAATAATTAGTATAAATAATCACTAATCTGACCAACTTTGGGCCCGAACCCTCACGATTGTGACATCTAAAAGTAACGTCGACAAAGACAAACTAAAAACGCGAAAGGACGAATAAAAACATAATTTATCGAGAATTTAGCTTTTTTCAAATGAATGATTGCAATGACAATTAGTTTTTACTTACTTTTACGTGACAAACAGGTACGTTTAATTTTGGCTAGCAACCTAGCAACACGTGCTTGTTGCTAGGCGGCGAATGCCAACTGAGTCAAAATTATTGTAATTTAATTCCACTGCTTTTTGTCATAGCCCTTTCGGTCCTAGTACTCACAATTGTGACGGTGACTTTCTCAATTTTTATAAAATTAAAAAATCGTCATGAGCTGACGTGGACAGCGTCGTACGATCGTGCGTATAGTTCAGTTTACCATGCAGTTATAATTATTTATTTTATTTATGCAGTTTTTTCTTTGTTTTTTTTTCTTTGATATTAATTCAAGTTTTTTTCTTTGATATTAATTGAAGTTACACTTTTTGAGCGTGGTGACCGATAACAAAACAATTTCTTTTCTTTTATTGAATAAATGAGAAGTTAATATTATTTCAAATATTTTTATTATCTTACAATACATGCAACTATAGTGCGTTCGCGTTAAAAAATAGTGAGTCATCGTTGTCCGGCGGCCTGTCCACGCCCCCCAGCCAATTAAAATGCAAGAAATTAGAAAGTCGAGTTTACAGTGACCAGTTGAAGTCAGGCCTTGGAACAAAACGGTTGTGTATTTTGCGTGTTACTCGTTCAACATTAAATTTTGAAAATGAATACCTCACCTATTCGAAAGAATAAAAGTGGATCAATAATCCATAGCGGAGAGAGACGCGTAATTTACAATGTTTATAAGTTCTTTAAACTGTGTGATTTAAATGCGAATGTGGAGAGGGATGTGGAGAATGTGTCCGAAAATACTGCTTATAAAATTATTAAAGAACAAAAGGATACTAACACATTAAAATCACCCTTGACAAAAAGAACTCGACTGTCGACGGTTGATAAATTAGATGAACTAGACAAATGTGCAATAAGGAGAAAACCTCACTCAACATATTTAAATAACGACTACCCGACATTGGACAAAATTATGACACTTTGCCGAGCTGACGAAGATATTCCTGTTTTCAAACGTACCACACTTCATAAAATAATGCACGAGTTTGGTTTCGATTTCAATAAACAAGATAGCAGAACATTGTTAGTCGAAAGAGAATGGACATGATCACATGACTTATTTAAAAAAAGAATTATTAATGAAAGTTATTAAAGAATTATTAATAAAAGAAAAATTTAACAGTGGTAGAGCCACGCGGCAGCTTTGCTGTCGCACGTATGGGCCGGCTCAAACCGGGGTGGTACCACGACCTCACAGAATACCGGCGTGAAGTGGAAGCTCTGCTTCCGCGTTTCGTCTGGTGAGTGCAGGTGGCCGGAGGCCCAAACCCCCCCCCCCCCCCCATCAACATGGTAGCGGAATTCAATGATAGACTACCCCAGGAGGGTACCAGCACCCCTGGAGAATCCCTCGCTGAGCATCCACGACCATGTTTTTCCACTTCTGAGCGTGGGTGCTCAGGCTGCCCCGCGTATTCTGGGGGGGGGCAAAATTCCGCTCAAGACTAAAACTGCTCGGGGCAAACGGAGCAACAAGACCAAGGCGACCCCTGCCACGCTGTCCGTGAATTTCTGCAATATCAGGGGACTTCACTCCAACCTAAACGCCGTCCACTACCATCTCGAGACGGCGAGGCCGGCTCTGCTCTTTCTGACCGAGACGCAGGTGTCCTCTCCGGCTGATGTCTCGTATCTCTCCTACCCGGGGTACAAACTGGAACACTCCTTTGTGCCTCGGGCTGGAGTTTGCGTTTACGTCAGAGAGGACATCTGTTCTCGACGCCTCGGCAGACTTGAAGGTTCGGACCTGTCCATCCTTTGGCTACGCGTAGACAGCGACGACCATCCGCGCATCTACGGGTGCCTCTATAGGTCCCACAGCGGTAATGCCGAAACAGACCGACTCTTCGACCACGTCCAAATGGCTGCAGATTCGTTGCTACAGCAGATCCCCTCCGCAGAGATCGTGATCCTCGGCGACTTTAACGCCCATCACGCCGAATGGCTCGGTTCACGTTTAACCGATCATGCGGGGAGATCTGTTCATGATTTTGCCTTGTCATATGGTCTGACACAACTGGTTACTTCGCCTACGCGGATTCCAGATGTGGAGGATCATGCACCTTCCCTGTTGGACCTTCTGCTGACCTCTCACCCGGACGGATATCAGATTTCCGTCGACGCCCCTTTAGGCTCCTCGGACCATTGTCTTGTCCGGAGTGTGGTGCCACTCACGCTGAAATCGCGGTTGCATTCTGCAGGCTGCCGCCGTGTTTGGCACTATAGGTCAGCCGATTGGGATGGGTTGCGGTCTTTCTTTGCATCCTACCCTTGGGGGGCGGGTTTGCTTCTCGCCGGACGATCCCAACGTTGTTGCGGATTCTGTCGCTGATGTACTTCAGGGTATGGAACTTTTTATTCCTTCCTCTGTGGTGCGCATTGGAGGCAAATCTCAGCCATGGTTTGGTCGCTCCTGTAAAATAGCATCATGCTATAAGCAGGAGTGCTACCAGGCCTGGGCTGACGCATCAGCGTCCAAGGATGTAAACACCAGCGCTCTAAAAAAGAAGTATAATTCCGCCTCTAGGTCCTTCAAAAGAGTCATTGCCAAGGCAAAGTCAGAGCACATAGGCAGAATTGGCGAGAAACTAGTTCGTCTTCCTTCTGGAACCCGTACATTCTGGTCTCTCGCCAAGGCTGTCCAGGGGAATTTCTGTCAGCCATCTCTTCCATCTCTGCACAGGG